GAAGCCAGGGCCAAAAAAGCAGTCATGCATTGCAAGGCCACAGTCAGGCTCTGTTTCACAGGAGAAGAAACCAAGACAGATGGAGGGCAAGTGATTTTCTCAAAGTGATATGAGTAATATCGCTGGCAATGGCCAGTCTTGAAACTAATCCTGGCTTAGGCCAGGTTCTGTGAAATGTGCAGTAAACTGGGCAGCAACAACCCTGGGCTTCCTACTTTTGCCCCAGGGAGACTCGCTGCAGACATCTGTCACAGCTGGCACTGTGAGTGCATCACTGTATTGGCTCTGGTCCAACAGTACTGCTGGGGGACCTTCCCTTTCCTTCTCCTCAGGGTGTCTGTGGTCAGCAAGCAGTTGATTCTTTACACGGTAGGTGCTCTTTATTAAATTAAAATAATCCTTTCTGGGTTTTAGTCCTGTTCAGCTCAGTCTTCCCGTTTTGGGCACATGATGTAGTTGGGTGACAGAATTATTTATAGGTAACACCTGGCAGGAGCAGAGACTGTCATGTAAAGAGTCAGTAGGAATGAAACAAAGGCTTTGTTGATTGCTGATGCTCCACAAATAGGCTGCATTGAGAGTCAGCACACCTTGTATTTCTCCTCTGCTCCTTGTCCCTTTTGTGTCCTCTCCCAGTCCACTCCAATCTGCAATTTCCACTTCTTTTCTCCCCCTCCTTTACTCTGTACAATGGCTTCCTCAGGAGAGCATTAAGCTCAGGTGCTCCATGCCCTGGTTGTGCCAAAGTTTCAGTAGATCATAGGCAAAAGTTGAAACTATCACCTTTGCTTGCAGTCAGATATATTGGAGTGTGATGGATCACAACTCTCACCAATCTCTCTAACTGTGAACCGGGGTGCACCAATTTGCCTCCTTCCTAGACCTCGGAGCAACTCTTTTCTGCCCAGTTTCATCTTTTTATTTGTTTCAGTCTAGGCATCTGCAAGACCCTTATCTCTGACTAAAGCGCTTTCTCCCCATGAGCCCCATTTTGGACTTTGACCTTCCTCCTAGTCCTCTAGCTTGGCCAAGCCTTGAGCTTGAGGAGACTGGTCAGGTAGGCAGTCCAGTCTGCATGGAGAGTGAGGGCTGAGAAGGAGGGACACAGTGGAAATCATCCCAAACAATGCTTTTAGCAGCAGTTTAGTTACCTATGATGTGATGTGTAACCATCCTGGACCACATCTAATCTGCCAGTTCTTCTTATCTTTCAGGAAAAATGGTGGGGTGGAAAAGAGCCAAACAGACTAGCTTGTGTTGGGGCTAGGAGTTTTGTGACTCATATAGCCCTTTTATGGTTCCCATGGCTATGCCAGGCTAACGCATGCCTCATTGCCTTTTCTGGTTATTCAGACTTTGCCTAGCTGTCCATCCTCCCAGGAACCAGCTAGTTTCCTGAAAACTAATGCTCCATGCCAACACTGCCATTTCAACCCAGTATCTTTGACAATCCTAGGACACTTACTGTTTGGTATGCTTGGATCTGGCCAAGATAAACTGAGTCTTTCCCATTCTTCTTTGAACAGCATAACCCTTTTTGCACTGATTAGCTTTTAGGCCAAAGTATTTGAATGCTCTAGGTGATGTGCTTCACTTTTAAAAAGAGGAAGACAGAGAAGAGCCCAAATATACACACAGAAACTACCAAATTATGAAAAACAAAAAGGTTTCTAAAGTTCTCTTTTCAGACGGATGACTTGTAATCAGTGTTACTGGTCTATTGCTCACGTCTCCTGAAGGAAGAGGGAGTTGCGCATTTCTGGAGCTAGATATTGGAAAGGATAAGTAGATCCATCTCATAGTAACACTAGTCAGTCAGGCGTGTGCTGTGTGTCACTCAGTGGAGGAGTACCTGCTCTGCTGCACAGCGTCTCTGCTGTCACTGACAGCTTCAGACCTGTATTCCTCATTTAACTTCCCGCTGTGACTCTCCTCTGCACTTTCCATCCTCTAGTATCAGGCTGCTCCCTGCTTCTGGATCATCCTCTTTCTTGACTGTGCTATGGGTTTTGTGCCTCTATGCCTTTGCAGTTTTACATGCTGACCACTTCCGCACTTTTAATCTCCTTTATTTCTTTCCTCCCCTTTTCCTCTCCTGCTGTTTTCAGCATTATAATAGTATTTGGCACTTCTTTGAGAAACATTTTTAAGCCTTAATCATGTTCTCTTCAGGTTTTTATAGTTTCAGCCATTTCACAATGCTAGTGGGGAAAAGTGAAACTAAGCACACTTGGTGATCAACGCAGAAAATATTCATGTCGAAATCAGAAGCACACTTCAAGGTATCTCAGTCTCATGCATGGCTCTGGCTCCCTTGCAGGGTATTAACACTGCACTCTGCTCCATGCCACTTGTGGGGTGGCAGTTCCTGCCATCACAGATCAGCCAATGGAATGTGGGTTGTACCAGCCCCTCTGCAATCTGCTCCGGAACAATGTCAGCCAGGAAGCCAGGCTGGTGAGCTTTGGACAGGTAGGTGGAGTCATTTACAGGATTCCATCACTAGCCCAGTTTTGGGGGTAACAACAAGAAGCTGGCTACATAGGAATATTCCAAATCTTTTCCAGATGCTTGAAACGAGCCTGAAAGCCAAAGAGGGAAGGATGTGATAAAGTGGATAGATATTTTTTTTGCCCCTTCTGACCTGTATGATACTATTGTCACCTGATGCTTTGCTTTCAGAGCATGAGCAGGCCCTGTGTCAGCATCAACACAGAGATGAGTGTAACTCACCTACCTGGAAATACATACTTTAATTTATTCTGGGGAGTGAGACAGAGGGGAATAAACCAAAACATTTCTCACATTTAGGGAGGGTGGTCTATGTGTCTGTCATGTATTGTTCCTCCTTGGACCAAGCTGCTGAATGGCTGTCAGCACACTGAAGTTTTTTATATATAATGGTAGGCCAACCTAAACTTTCCTCCTCTGGTCTGAATAATCTGACTGATCTCACCATTCCTGCTGAACAATGGAAAATTGCCTGAATATTTAAACATGTATTGTTCTTGGGGAAACAAAATGTTCAGCTAGTTTGGTTGCCTTAGCAACATCCACTTCTAAAAATACAAAAGAGACAATCTAGAAAATAAGTGAACGTGTAGAACAGGCGAGGAGAGAAATATACTTATTTCTCCCTGACCCAAAGCAACTGGGTCATGGGCATGAAATTCTTTCATTTAGATCTCAGTGAAGGATTTAGGGTGTATCTTCACACACTTGTCGAACAAGTTTCATTTTTAATAGTTTAGAACATGGCTAATATTAAACCTAGGAAAGCCGCTGTGACATCTCTTTTACGTTGGCTCCAAACTGATTCTGTCAATGTCCTTTAGAGTGCTATAGCCCAGAAAGCACAGGTTGCACAGGAATTAAGCAACAATTGCTGTATGTTGGGGGGCAAGAGGGCTAAAGCTGTAAAGACTAATTAAGAATGATTAAAGGCCAACCTGAGATACACCTTGTGAAGGCAAGTAGAAGAAACAGCAGATGATTCCTTTGTGACATGATGTGGAAGGGACATGTTCATGCTCGGGGAAAGTAACAAGGGGATCATAGGTGTGACCCACATACAACATGAATTAAATGAGTTAATGCTCCCAATTTTCAGTAATTCCAACAAAGGAGAATACAGGGCAAGCACTGTGTGTGTAGAAAAGGAAATGACTGCATGCAGGATGAAACAGGATCGTAAGCATTTTGGTCAGCTCCAGTCACAGGGACCAGAATATCTCAGAATATTGAGATAGCTGGCGTACGAGATGGCAAATCTTACAGGGCGGATTTTTAATTAATCTGTCAAGTTGGTGGTGGCACTGTCTGACTGCAAAATAACAGATGCAGTACTTCTGTTATCTCTAAGAAAAGGAAAAGGGTGTAATCTAGGGAAATGCAGACCCATTCTCCTGACCACCACAGTGCCTACAGCTTTAAAGCCAATCTCTAGGAGGGAATAATAAAAAAACACGGAGGCAAATGAACAGTGATGTACAATGCAATAGTAGTTTGTCAGAGGTAGAGCACGCCAGAATAACTCCATATTTCTCTTTAATAAGACAAATATTTTGGATCAGGGAAATGATAGAGATCTTATCTGTCCAGACTACAATAAAGTACTTGACACAGTGACATATTTGTAATTAATAGCTAAAATAGGAGTTATGGAAAAATTAGAAGGTAGGTAAAGAGCTGGCTGATGGGGAGACAAATGCAGGTTGTACAGAAAGGGAAAGTATCAGTTTGGAAGAATGGAATTCAGTAGCTAACTTTCCTGGTGCATTAGCTTTAATATGCAGAAATATGTCAGCATCTGTAACAGCAACACTGCTGTGGCTCAAGAGCTGGAAGTGCCAGAGAAGGACAAAAGCTTGTACTTACTAATACATTACACTGTCATCACAGTGACTGTGAGCCCCAACATGTTGTAAGTGTGTAAAGACAAATAGTATCCTGCAAAATACCCAGAGAGAGGAGGAAGAGTCAATAGTGGTATGCAGGACTCAGGAGAAATCTCGTCTGAAAAATGGCATGCAATCCTTGTTGCCTACTTCCCAAAAATATGAGATCCAATGGGAACTGGTGAAGAGTGAGCAGGACCAGGGAGACTCCAAGCCTATGTGGAGAAACTAAGAGAGACTGGCTTTTACAGTCAGCAAAATGAAGGATGAGAGAGACCAGATTTCCTCTCTTTAAATGTATCTGAGTGTAAAAATCAGAAGAGGAAGTTATTAAAGCTGAAGGACATCCCAAGAACAACTGGGTATAAAATGACCATAAAGGAATTTACCCTTGAAATTAAAAGAAAGCTTCTAGCCATCTGAGCAATTAGGTTCAGGAACAGTCTCTAATGGGAGAGGCAAGGAAAGAGGCCAGATGCTTTAAAAAGATTTCACTCAAATGAAAGACATTTCGTTCTGTGGCTTCCTGTGATAGCATGCAGTGACTGAAAGGTTTCCAGGGCTATATTTGCCTAATCACAAATCAGTTTGACAGCATCCATATCCAAGAGGTCTCCACTTTATCTAAATTAAAGTCTATGCTTTCAGCCACACCAGTACAACTCAGGGTTCAAAACAATGATTCACTGGAAAACACTTAGTGAGAAGAGAATGACAGCAGAGAAATGAAAATACTATTTCAGCAGAAAGCCCTTATCCTTCTCTGGTACTGAGGGATGTGAGATAACACCACATTTGCAAACTAGGGGTACAGCCCTGCAATGCTGATGCCAACAGATGAGCCAAAAGAGCTTCCTAAAAGTATAGCAATTGTATACACTGTGTATAGATTCCTCGTGAGACAAGCAGAAACATATTCAACTCCCCTCCTGTCTCTTTCTGTTTGCTTTCTTCCATGAACTCTGACTTTTCTGAGACTGTTGAAAGCCTTCTTTTTTATCTGGATGTTGTTCAGAGTATTTTTTTTCACTTACAAGGTGGTTGCCATTTCATATTTATAATCCCCAGGATATTTTGTGACAGTTCCTCTCATAGAAACTTTTTACAGGAGAGAAACTGATGTTCAAACTGATGAGATGAGTTGCCTAAAGTTGTTTGTGATGTCTGTAGTAGAACAAATTGTCTACCAAATCCCTACTCCCTGTGTAACCCTAAAACCAGCATCTCTGCTAGCTTTCTTCTGTGTTTCATTTTCCCCTTCCATTTTAGTCTGCTTCTGTCAAGCTCCTGCATGTCCTCTTCACTCCCTTTTTCTTGCCAGCTGAAGCACATGGCTCGGATGCCCTGCTGCAGCCTCTACCCTCTGATTTCTCATGATTTTCCATTTGCTCCATCCATCACTCTCAAAGCTGTCACGGTTGTAGATCACCACAGCAACAGCACAGGGGTGGCTAGGATGAACATAGAAGAAATGAGTTATTATGACTCCATCTGAGGCAATATACATGTACAAATGGGAAGAGGGCTTTGGAAGAGCGCTGGGCAGGCTTTTTGGGTTTATGCAGTGGATAGAAGCTAATATGACACACTTGCAAGGTCTCATTCATCTAGGGTAAAACTCGTGCAATTAGTTCCCACCTTGTGGTCCTTTCAGCAGGTGGCTTTTGCTCTGTGTTTTCTCTGCAGCATTACAACCTCTTTGTCCCCTTTGCCACCCTCGCATGCCAGGCACAGCTGGTGAGTGTAATCTGTGATCCAGTGAAGACCATCTGGAGAGACAGGAGTGCCACAGAGCAGGACACAAACCTCTCATGCTGTCAAGTAAGCCAATGGCCCACAGGCAACTCCACAAATAAAAGTGCATGGAAGAGAAAAAAGTGTTGTCAGAGAAGAAAGCAGCCTTCAGAATCGAAATTTATGTGCAGTGTGGAAAGCGTCGATCAATGCTGCTGCAGGCCTTCCGGTGAGCAGGCCTGTGGAAACCTGGTGGTTTGGGTATGGAGATTTTCGCTGAACTATCAGAACTTTTATATGTTTAGGTTGTGATGAGAATGAAGATCTTTCTCATAATACATGTGTCTTTCCAAGCAGGGAGTCTCAAAAACAACTATGATATTGTGAAAATGATATCTGACTGTACAGACAGTTACAGAGATTCTTGCCTTTCACAATCTTCCTGTCACTGTTCCATTTATACGGATGTAACTTTTGGTATAATTGCAGAAATTGCTTGCAATTAAAATTATTTAGTTACACATAAACATTTTCAGTACCGTTAAGTATTTTGAGAAATTATTAATCTTAATGAACCAGAGCTTCAAATGAATCAAGTTAATATTTGCCTCAGAAAAGTGTGAGGGCAAGGTGACATGAGCTAACATTTTACCCAGCTAACTCTCATCCTGCAAAAAGATTAAAACAGATCCAAGGATAATGTTATTAAAAGGAGTTTAGGGTTTGTGCTACCTGGGCCACTGGTATATGTCCCTTGGAGACTGCTATAGTGGCCAGAGATTTAGATGTGCTCTATTCTACCCGTTTCTAAATAACAAGAGAAACAAGAGACATAAAGCTGCGTATTTCATGTCAGTGCTTATGAACTTGCTGTCAGAGACGACAGGTGCTTGGTAAGACATTAAAGTTTTTCTACAAAGTACTGTAAAAATACACACCTAAAGAAAATACACACCTACATTCCTGCTTGCAAGCAACAACAAAAACGAGAGGGAGAAAAAAAAAAAGCTATTTAATTTATATAAGCAGGAGGAAAAAATAAGGGCATATGCAATTTTTTTGTCTAATGTTTAGTTGACTGTAAAGGAAAAGCAGTGAGCTATGTCTTTTTCTTTTTTTTTTTTTTTAATAGAGACTGGATGGCTAAGAAGCACTGCTACACTCTGCCTCAGCACAATCCTTTTGATCAGCTTTCTGCCTGCTTTGAACCACAGACTCTCTGACAAGACTCAGGCTACAGTTCTGTCCCACTCTGCCCCTCTTCCCCCCATCCTCTCTTCCAACTAAGGAGCTTACACACTGCTGAAGACTTCAGGGCTCAGATCTTGCTATCTCCACTACTGCACTTCAGTCTTGCCTCCTAGAGAGTTATCACTTTCGTTATTGCCAAGATAATTAAAGAGAAGCCAACTTCATATATCAGCTACTCCTTTGCAAAGCTTCATGCATGGCTTTTTGCTTTGTTCAGGGAGATTCCTCTTCCCCATTAGCTGAATGACTGATGTGGGTTTGTCCCCTTTTCTCTGAGGCATCACATTGTGATAACAACACGAGATTCTAACCCTGTGGTCCAGTGGTCAAAACCAATGTTCCTGTGATGTGATCTTCTCTTGCCTGCACATGTATTCCTGCTTGGCCTCTGTTGTCAGGCTACCTAACTGTCACATCCCCTTCTCTGTCAGTGATTTTCAGCTGCTTGTTTCCTGCTACCCCTTCTTTGACCCGTGATTAAAGTATCTGTGGGAGTTTACTGGCTCTGGGACTGTCATCACAGGCTTTAATAAGTATGTGGTGATGTGGCAATGCATCACCTTGCAGTATGGGGATACAGCATAAGAAACAGGAAGGGAAAAAGTGGTGAACTAAACTCCAGCAAAGGTTATGTCTGCTCAGGGACATGGTGGCAGGCAGCAACAACATCTGTGTGTTTTTGTAATTTTGTATGGCTCCTCTGTGGTGGTCTGCATTCCACCAGGTGGGGGAATCTGCAAGGGTAAAAGTCAATCTCAGAGGGAAGACTCTAGAATTTCTCTCTTTCAATTATGAAACCTACCCAGCTGTCACCAGCTTTTTGCTTCTAGCTTTGGTTGCAACTGATCTGTTCCTAAAACTAGGGGCAGATGTGACTAAGACAATAATAATGTCTTTACTCCTCTTCCCTCTGTAAGAAGGAAAAATGGTCTCAGCTTGGAGGTGGGGATCCAACTGGACAAGATGAGGAGCAGAGTGAGGCTCCCTGTTGAAGAAAGACTGTCTTGCTCTGTGGCTACTTCTGGTCTCTCACTTTTAGAAAATGTCCTGAGCCCAGGAATATCTCTGCAGATAGACACTAATTAGACTCTTTATATCCTTCAGGCAAGAAAAGACTTTTGGGATCATCAAGATCAACCGTTAACCTAACACTGCCAAGTTTACACGAAACCATGTCCCTAAGTGCTACATTTACATGTCTTTTAAACACCTTCAGGGATGGTGACTCAAACACTTCCCTGGTAAGCCTGTTCCAATACTTGACAATCCTTTTCTTGAAGAGATTTTTCCTAATATCCAATCTAAACCTCCCCAGGTGCAACTTGAGGCTATTTCCTCTTGTTCTATCGCTTGTTACTTTGGAGAAGAGGCAAACTCCCACCTCACTACAGCCTCCTTCAGGTAGTTTTAGAGAGTGATATGGTCTCCTCTGAGCCTCCTTTTCTCCAGGCTAAACCACTCCAGCTCCATCAGCCATTCCTCATAGGACTTGTGTTCCAGACGATTCACCAGCTTCGTTGCCCTTCTCTGGACATGCTCCAGGACTTCAATGTTCTTCTTGAAGTGAGGAGCCCAAAACTGAACACAGGATTCGAGGTGCAGTCTCACCAGTGCTGATGACAGGGGGATGATTCCTGCTCTATTCTGCTGGCCACACTATTTCTGATAGAACTCCCCCAAGTTTTCAAAGGTTTTGAAGATGGAGTGTATGATATAAGTACAGGTTTGTGCTTTCTAGCCAGCAGTTTTTCTCATGAACAGGTCTAGATGGCATACAAGTACACAGCAGTACCATACATGCACCATACTGTGACTATGACCAAAAACAGTTCCTGCAGGCTTACAAGCACAGTGTATCTCCCCAGCCAAACCCAGAGTCCAGTGAAGCCTTTCTCTGTCTTGGATAATAAATAAAGCCAGAATTTTGCCCCCACATCTACTTCCATCAGAATAATTTTTTTTAATCCTCCACACTGTTCTTTAGCCACCGTGTCTCCCAAACCATCTATCTGACCAGTGCCTTCCTCCCATTTAAATCCCTGTCCATCTTCTGCAAAGAATCACTTAATCACAGTTTTTTCATTCTGCGATTATTTTAGGTATCCATAAGGCCTTTTGTAACCTGTCTGGTTATGTCCACCAGCCTAGACCATGTCTCTGTGTTTATTGCAATTCCTCTCCCAGATTGTGTCCCAATGATTTTCTTTCTCTCCATTCCCCCTGTAGTAAGATTCCAGGTTTCTGAGGGGAATCTATCTAGAGGAACTACAACCAGCAGGATTGGGTTTACCAGAAAGCTCAGACTCACATCTGCCTCTCAAGGGGGAGTGCCCCCACTATTACTTGATGCCCCAGCTGATGTCCATGGGAATGACCATGCGTGCCCACAGAAGCATCCCACGGTGTCATCCCACCCAATCTTTTACCTTCTTTCCAGAAACTCTGGCTGGATCACAGCCCTGCAGTGGGCACCAAGAAAAGCTGCCCTGAAGGTTGCCTTTAAAGCTGTGAACTGATGATGTTGTCAGCACATAGTGTTCATTCCCAAGTCATGAAGTTTATTCTGGGACCACTTGAGAGTTTCAAAGCTCTCCCCTTGCCAGGAAAATATCTGTGCTGTTGAGCTCTCCTTCAGATTCTCTCCACATGCCATAAAGGAAATGTTCAGAAACCTAATCTGAGGGGGATCGGGCTGTGAGTTCTCCTTGTCTGCGTCAACTTCATGAGGCACGAAATCTGAGGGTGCTGTAGGAATCGGGCAGCCTTTGTAATGCACACCAGCTATGTCATGTGCCTCCAGCAGGGAGGCAAGCTCTCGTGTTGCTATTGCTTCAGACTCCACTCTTGCTGGTACCCTGCTCACTTAGAAGGACCCTATCACCTGTAGGTAGGACTGCTGCTAAGCAAGCAAGTAGGAATGACATGTTCTTCACTTGGCGTAAGAGTGACAGATGAAGGATGGTCTTGTGACTGAGACATTGAGCTGTGACTCAGGAAAATAAAAGTTTCTGTTCTCATCTCTGTTGCTCAATTCTTGTGTGACCTTGACAAGTCACAGTTACTGTCTCAGTTCCTGTCTTTGATCTGGGGAAGGTAACGCTTTCTTGTTCCTTTGTCTACCCTGAGTCAGTGCTTCACTTTTTATACCACAGACTGCCCTCAACAGTATCTTTGTGTGTCATCTAGCGCAGCTAGTTAGCCCTTAATTCTAGGTGAGCCTTTAGGTGCTATTATGATATCCCTAAGCAGGAACAGGAGTGGAGCCTAGGGCCGCGTGCTGATGCTGACAGCTGCTTGCTGGTCCTGTTCTATTGGTGCACTTTGACTCAGCAGAGGCTATCACAGCCCCTTGAGCATGAACCCTTTGGTCTGAGCTACAAATAACTACCACAACCTCAAATGGATAAACACCAGGTGCTAAACATTCACTGTCAGATGCTGCATTGTAAGTGAAGGCAGATAGTTAACCTACTTTGTGTACCTCATCCAGGATGTCAAGATGTGCTCTCAGTTCTGCTGACACAGATCTGAGGAGATAAGCTAAATCAAGCTACATAACCCTCATGGACAGAGGGCTTACGTGCCATCATTTGGAAGGCCACAGAAGTGCCAAATGCCTGACAGTATTTGGAAAGGAGATGATGGTAGCAAAGCAATGTCTATTTTGGAAATTATATATAAAATTCCTATAATTGTATGGGGGGTTGTCTAAAAAAAGGAAGCCGCTCCTGCAAGACAGACAGCACACAGAAATCAGGCAGGAGATGAAGGGAGAATATGTACCTATGCAGAAGAGAGACATTTCTTCAGTAGGACATACCTGTTGGTAGGCTCTTTTTGGGCCATACGATCCCAAGTTAAATCAGCTATTGAGAGTGACTTATGTTGCCAGAAATCAACAGGAAGGTAAAGCCCTGTATAAATGAGTACCAGAAAAAAAAAACAGTTTAAGGATATGATTCTGTAAGATCCTGTTTCAGGATCAAAAGTTGGGTCAACTCTTCTACATCCTGAAGAGAACAAGAGTTATGGGATGAAATAAGGTGAACTGGGAGGGGAAAACTAAAGGGAGAACAATAAAGATCTAGTGAAGAAAATGAACGGAAAAAAGGAATAGGGATGAGAAGGTTTGAGACAATGGGGTGAAAGAATGAAGTTACTGAGTTAGTTAGGGAAAGGAAAAGATTAAAAAACTGAGAGGAGCTGAAAAGACAGATTTTTAGTGGCGTCTGGTGATGCTTTTGTTGAGCTGGCTGTATCTTGGAGCATGCCTTGAAAGATGTATCTGTGGCCCACCTGGTAGGCCTTGGAGAGGAATATCTTATGCATTCCCCTTACCTTTTGATCTATATGGGGAGGAGGATACTACTAAAGCTCAGTTTTTTCTTTAGGATTGCTGAGCACCAGAGCAAGCTAAAACCAAACTCTTTTCCCGCACATGCTTATAAAGAGTAACATTTTTTCAATGCTCTGAATTCCTTAAAAGCCTGTCTCTGATTGGAATAATCCCTACAAAGCTATGTGACTTCAGGTATATCTTTCTGACAGCAAAGGCAGATTTAGGGAATGAGACAGCTTTACAGAGATAACCTAGGCCCTCAAGGACAAGGTCTTCTTTCATCAGGAAATAGCTTTACAGGCTCTTCCTGTTGTTTTTATAGGCCAGTTTGAAACTCAGTGGTGGCTTAGATCTAGTATGAAGTTATCTTTGTTTCAGTTTTCTCCTAGGCCAGCCAGTTGCTGATTCTTCCAACTCAGAATATGCTCTGTGTGTGTGTGATTCCTCAAGAGCTATGGCAATTATCTTCAGATTTCCTTAATTTAGTGTGAATTTCTCAGTAGTTAGAGGTCCTATGTCAGAGTTATGGGCTTAACCAAAGGTCAGCTTTCTTTTTATTGAGTTAGTGTATGCTTTCCTGATGGCTGCTGAGAAGAGCTTTAAAATGTGAAAGTTAGATATTTGAAAGCGAGGGGGGTAAAATTTAAATAATTCCATATTTTGGAAAAATAGTTTTACATGAATACTATCCTTACTAGTTGCCTAATTTGTGATTTTTAAACAGATTGTGTTTTTCAGAGATTCGGAAAAGGGACAATGAGATGGTAGCCAGTGTATTTGTGTAATAAAATTTCTGCAGGATTTTAAGATAATTGAGGCAAGAAATGTGCAATACAAACTCTCAGGTTAATTTATTTCAGTATATTTTCTTCCCAAAAGCTGTTCATTTTGAAACGGAGTGGCCAAAACCAGTGAAAAACTTCACAAAAGTAACTCGCTAATGAAAGTGAAGCTGAGGGCTTCTTAGCATCAGGCAATCTGCATAGACAAAAACTCTTCCATTGCCTGAATGGATCACAATGGGATTGCGCATGTGCCCTGGCATTTCCATTAGCACACCTCCTTTAAAGAAGCTTTAAAATGTTGTGGTATGCTGTGACAATGTGTCAGAAATTGTGCTGCCCAGTCCCAGGAGTCACCTTTGCCTCTGATTCCAGCAGAGGCCCCTGGTAACGTGCAGCAACATTGCTTCACATATACAGGTGTTTTGCTTGACCTTCCGGGCAAGCAGCAATGTCCAACCCAAGTTAATCTTTGGCTGGTGCAGCAAAACCAATCAGACCTTAAAATAGTTCCTGACTAAATTAGCAACTTCTATTTACTGTTGCTTTTACTACAACACAATTCATTAATAACCCATAAGAGCCTTCACTATGAAAGCACCCACTGGCTATGACGAGCTACACCACAGATTATAGAAATACAATTGCAGAACAATAACCACGCATATTGTTTGAGTCCTGGCTCTATCTGCCATACCTGACATATCCAGCCTGTAAATCTAGACAGCATCTAGGAACTTCCATGGTCTCAGTCCCCCCGAGCCCCCAGGAGCAGCCAGCCTGCGTCTTCTCACCTGCCTGCAACCTGCCAGCAGCCCAGGGCCGTTGTCCTGTCGATGCTACAGTGCTCAGCCATGAGCCCTCGGACAGGAGTGAAGTGCTGTCGGCCAGGGGGTTGCTCAGTAGTGGAGGCATGGAGCTAGGACATGGCACTTGGCCCAGCAGAGTCTTTCTTATTTTTGCTAACACAGTTTTAGCTGCCCTTGATGCAAGGGCAAGTTGACTGCTGTGTTACTATTTCTCCTGCGTGTGGGTTCTCAAAGGCTCCTCTTCCACTTCCATCTGGTTCCGGATAGAAACATACCAGCCTCTGAACACAAGGCTGATGAAACCTGGTCCTTCCTTGCAACATGAAGTGTATGGTAATATAATCAATAGAAGGGACTGCCCAGAATAGCAGGGGTGCAAAAATAGTACGTCGTCTGCATGTGCTTTCCCTGTGGCCCTCTCCTGTTCCACAATATAGTCAAGGCAGTGGTCTCTCCTGTTTCATTGCTTGAGCATAGATCACTGTAGATGGTCAGGCACCATGTCAAATACTCCCCATCTGCCAAGAACCCTGAGCCTGTGGCTCCTGTGCAGTCTGCAAAACTAGAAATTAAACCCACTGGGCAACAAAAATAGATGCAGTTGCTCAGCTAGAAGACTAGACCCACTATCAAGGAAGAAATGAAAGATTATTGAAATTAAAAGCATTCATCTTAAAAGCCCATTGGACACAATTTCCCAGGCTATCTGGCACCATGTGCGGTCTCCATCACAACAGCACCTACACAAGCTGTAATCAGGACCATGTGGTCACACTGGTGGCTTCTTTCCACACCTCACAGGCTGCAGTGCAGTAATAACAGCATCTCTTGCATTTCATGTTGTCTGTAGCCTTAGGATCACCAGCAGAAAACAAAATGGTATAAAGAGGCTCTATCACTGAGACAAAGCTGATTTATGGCCTAAAGGTAATATGAGGACAGATTTAAATAATCATTTTGGTATGTGCTTGACTCAAGCCCTGCAGCCGTATACACTGCTTCCCTGCTGGTGCTAATCTGGGCCCATTCTGGCATTTTTCTGGCTCCCCTTGGTACACTTGAGGGCTGCCACCACAGAGAGTATAGGGGTGTCCTGAAAAAAGAGGGAGGAGTGCATCTATTCAAGCCTGGAGAGAACGGCGCAGAAACAACACTCGGAGAGAATACAGAAGTCTCAATAAAGAGAGAGAAGGCATAAAGAAATTAGCAGTTTTATGATGTAGGGCTGAAGCTCTTGGAACCAAGGATTTATGATGTCTCACCAGTTATGAGAAGGATGGACTTTTTATCTCATTTCATTGTTTCTAAATACATGGTATATTATGACAAGACTCTCTTGGCAGTGGATTTGCATGAATAATGTGGCTATACTCTACCCAAGTAAATTATATTTTGTTCTTAAACATTCCCAAATGGTGTTTGTGCAATTCTGGAGTTTTAAAATGCTACCTGCCTGGCACAAGTTTGGGTGCGGTAATCAAAAGGAAGTGATTCATGCTGGAGGACAGGAAACCCTCTTCAGGACTGCAAGAATGTGGAGATTCCAGGGCTGAAGAAAATTCACCCACTGTGGGTCTGTAGGTACTACTTGGTTGACAGCAGCTGTTAGATATTGCATGACATCATGACAGACCAAATTGCTTCAGGAAAAAGAAAACTGTCAAGCAGATGCTGCTAGGACATTCATGGTGGGAGGAAGTACTAGGAATTTTTATTTAGGTACATCATTTCCAATAGTGACACTCTAGAAAAGGCATCTTTAAAGAGTTGGTTTGTTGTTGCTTTTCCGGTGCATCGAAAGCATCTTCGGAAGTGTAAGACTGCAGGATACCATGTGAGAGCATTGGATCAACCCTTGAGCAGGGTTTTCTTCCCATCCAAATACTGACAAGTGGAACTCAATAAGAATGAACAAGCAAGACCACAGAAAAGTGGAATAAATAAGTAAGTATTATTTCAAGTCAATGAGATAATAACTAAATGAAACATGCCAAGCTCTTTATTTCTAAAAACTTAGTCAGAGAAACCAACTACCAGGCAGCAAATACCTCATAAGCTGAGTATCTCTAGACAGGGAAACACAATATAAAAGTGGTTTGTAACTAATTAAACTGGAATTTTTTATTTTTTATTTTCAATTTAAGGTTCTCTCATTGCTAACAGGAAAAACAGAGAGGATATTGTGGCAACTTGAAGCTTCTGGCGTGACTAAGGTAATTAAAGCGGCCCATATGGATTTCAGACCACCCACCTACCCACCCCAGCCCTTAGTCAAGTCAAAACAAAGCATTACATTTTTGAAGAGTTGCAGCTATGGAAAAAATACAGGTCTCTAAAAGGCTTGTTATTAGACACTGCCAAGATAGTTTTGTGATGATCATTTCTGTTAATTTGGCAACATAAATATCAGAGTTTTTATTATAGTGCATAATGTGAGGTGGAGACTCTTTGGCAGGTATTCCTCTTCAGGGCTTGTCTCTCAGGCGTAGGAGATGCAGGTGGCAGGGCATGGTGGCATCTTCTCAGAGTTACCAGTTTTTACACATTCATCTCAGTGAGCCAGATTGTCCGCTCTACAATGTGATAAACTGGGAATAATCTCATAGAAATTACTGGTGTAGAGCCAACGTGAGGTCATCACTAGGAATGTGAGGTCACATGCAGCTTTTCCATATAGAGTAGCAAGAGACACTCTGTTCCCAGACAGCTGAGTTTCTATGGGTATACAAAAGAACCTGTGGCCTCTGGGCAGGACTACTGGTCCTGCACGTTACAGATGGTCCACTGTGAAATTTTTTAACCTGAGTGATCTAAGAGCCTAATTGCAATTTACATGCAGGATTGGACTCCTAAGCAATTTGTGCTATGACTACAGTTAGGAGATCTACAGCTTTTAGATTTCTTGTTTTGGAAGCAGTGCTTTTATCATATCTCCAAAGATGGTACTTTCCCCAAATGTGGCTTGTTGGCTGAAGTGCCCAGTGGAGGGTCAGCCAGTGCTGTCCTCAGAGCCTGATGCAGGCCGTGTGGGACATCTTTGCAGAGCATTCCTGGAGGCTGTTGCAATACTCAGTAGTGGGACTGTTGTGCCAAATTTTCCTGGCTTTATCTTCCACAGGCCTTCTTTCATTATAACAGCACCTGTGGTTTTCTGCCCCTGAAGGTCTTGAGGTCCCAGTGCACCTCTGTCCTCACACTTCTGTTTGGGCACATCATCCTTTTACCTTCTACTCCTATGGGATTCCCCTTCCATTAGCCAGAAACTTTTGAATAGGATGAGCTCTAAGACACAGTCTACATCATGCTGGGTTTGGTTTTTTTTTCAGGTCCAGGTATGACAAAACTACATGAGGAATTGAGCATTTCAAGGATACACTGTTAGGAGTGATTAGTTTAAAAAAAAAAAGGAAAAAAGAAAAGAGACAATAGAAATGTTAGGTTCATACCAGGAATCAAGAAAAGTTATTGTTTTTTATTCCTAAATCTTTTCTGTAATCATCTGGGGGAGATGCATGGAGGTGTTTTCCTGTCTTTGGAACTGCTCAGCTTCACATTATCCTTGTTGTCCTAGCTGTCACCTTGCAGCAATAAAGTAGGGAAGATTGATAAGGTAAAAGTCCCAGATGCCTTCAAGCCCATCCCAAGTCATTTATTGCCCACCTGCTTTCAGCATTTGTCCCAGCCAAGCTCATCCTTGAGGCTGTGAGAAGGACTCCTCAGCAGATGGAGGCAGAAGTGCCATTTCTAGGGCCAGGGTTAAAGGATCAGAGCACATGGGAGCAGTTTTGAGCTATTGGGACTGGATTTGCTGTCTGCCTGTTCCAAAATAATGTATAGCACTGAAAATCAGTGTAATTCTCTCCCTGCTAAGAGGAAAGTTTAGCATCCTCCACAGACAGCCATGTCTTTGAAACCGGATGCAATGCATTCCAGCTTCTCATGACAGAGAAAACGCAAGCCTATTCAAGGATCATGGAAGGACACAATTTTAGATCTTTTCTGCTAAGAAGTGTTATTAAGAGTGGAGCTTTTTAGTTCCGTAATTTCACTTATACATACACACTCAGAGATGGATATTAAGACATAGATAATGACTCAGAAATGTCAGACAGAGCAGAGCAAAGTCTACAGTGCAAGAGCAGAGGGAGAGAATAGCTGCAGCAAGTACAGCTCAAAGTCAGCTTTGTGGAAGAGAAGCAAAAGGGCTGTAGGCTTTGAAAGCCAGTGGCTCCTGGGTGTAACTTTTGCCTGCTTTTATGAAGTGGTACTGTAGGGAAGAATCCTCCACATTGTGACAATATTTCATGACAGCAAGTTTTGGGAAGCTCTCCAATACTGTGACAAGCCAAATCTCAAGAACTGTGATAGATGAATCTCCAAGTGTTGGAAATTATGTGGTTCATCTACACAAAGAAATTGCAGTGGCTTTAAATATCCTGATGGAGTTAAAGCTCTGTGATCTTTCCTTTACTGTGAATGAACATTATATTTGTATAAAGATGTATGATGCCAATACAACCATTTCAGTATGTGGGGGGAGAAAAAAGAAGAGACAGAACACACTTCCAACTGAAATAGTTGTGCCTGTAGAAGAAAAAAATGGCTTAGAACTACTTAAGCAGAATATGTTGATCATACCAACTAGCTCCAAAAAGCTGCATTATATTCATTAGGAGATGAAGTTTATATCCTAGATTAAGACTATATTTGAGACTGGAGCAAACTGGCCATGTCCTTTCTACTGGCTTCTGCCACACCTGCTAGCTCTAAGGGGCTGCAGGAAACTGGCCTGAAAAAGGGATCATTTTTTACTTTTGCTATCCCCTCAGCAGACATGGCTGCGGAATTCTTTATTGGCAACTATATATATAAGAGCTTTGGTAATTCACATGAGAGTGGATTTGCGGTTAAAAGTTAACCAGATAAACTTAACATTTTTCCTCAAGTTCCCTGGCTTCTCATACAGACATGAATCATTCTGGATTTTCTCAGTTTTCTCAATATTTATTAGGATAGATGGGTTGACTATATAGAGGTATATACCTTTCTGTACATACATACCTGGACTTGGGCTCCACTTCAGTGGAGTATAAGTTGATAGTGGAGTAGCAGCATATTCCTAGTTTAGCCTGAATTGACTTCATTTGCCTCATTCCAAACATAATTCAGAAAACATTTTTCTAGGCAGCAGTGAAAGTCATCTGCACTTGCACCTATATCCTCCCTTGTGCCCTCATCTACAGGTGCAGGGGAGGATATTTCTAC